AACCTCAAACACCATTAAGAAAAATTATAGTGGTTAATTTTATTTAGTTTTAGAAATTGTTTGACCCAATATGACTTGGTCATATTGCTAGACAGACCTAGAGGAACGTACCTAGTCCGGAGTCCATAGTATAAATGATAATTTCCGATCGGACCGTGGACGTGGTACATTCCCCACAACGAGAGAAGACTGCAACCAGACAAAGGGCAACACTATCTTGGTCTTAATACTTTTTATTTAGTTTTGTCCATGATTGATTGGTAATAGAGAATCAAAGTATCGACTCCATAAACATTAAACATAATTCGTTATTAGAATTAGTTTGTAAATAAAAACATGAACAGATGAACCAAATTAGATCGCCTAAGACTTTTTGGGGACTAATGGTTGAATTCCCAGCAATAAATTGAATAGACCTCGCAACGTTATTTAATTTCACATGACATTGCCCCTCAAAATAATTTCTTGAGTTAAACCCTCATCTATGTTTCCTCTGCGCTTTTAAATAATTCAAAACCAGCCTATCTGCATCAAGCTGAAACGTTACCACACCCCTCCAGGTTAGTCAAGTATTCTCCTCTTACTCGGTGGCTTTTGCTGTTTCCCCTTAACTATATCCATACTTATCTAATTCTATCCAGCAGCCAGAGATTATTCCTGCTTAGTTCTCTAAAGTGATTCCTTTTATTCAAGATGTTTTTTGTTGATTCCAACCTACTCCTTGATCCTCACTTTGTTATGAAGTCTCCATATCCGGCAAAACCTTGGGTTTCAGATCATTCTATCTGATGTCATATAGTAAGTATAGATTCAGCCACCCCCGATTTATGGATCCATAAAAATTTGCAGGTGGTTATGTCCCGATAGCCTCTAACGTATGGATCGACAAGTCTCCCCCATATAAACACTATCACGAACACAAAACCTTATAACAGTCTGATCTGTAGGGATGTCTGAAGATTCTCTAAAAGAAGGCACGACCGGGGAAAGCGTTATTATTTCCTTATGCATTGTCTTGACACTCCATTTCTTCGGTAATTCGTCCATCTTTCTTGAAAGCTTGCAGGATGGTAGCACTAGGAACCCGAACGAAGAGTTGTCTAATTCCATGTTTTGTCCTAATTAATGGTTTCCTTTAATTTTATTTCTTGACATTTTGAAATTTTTAACAATTAATTCTAGCCGATAATTGTTATTAATTAAAAATTTTTCTTTGCATTTCTTACTTCTGTTCCTGATGATTTACGTCCACTAGACGTTAACTTTTTATCAATATTGATTTCATTATTCCTACTTTAACACCGTATAATTAGAGAAGGAAACCCGTATTTGTGAGTTTCCCATAAACACCTATATCCTATTTGTTCCCTAGGACATCTAAAAAGGATAACTTACCGTCCTTTTCTAAGTCCATAGTGTATCTAGTCACTTATCTAATCTATTCATTAACCCAATGAAGTATTTCAAACACTCTTTGCCATGCTGCCATATATCAAAGTAATCATCCATATCTGATTAATAGTTCATGAACTAGAAGTGCTTCTTGAAAAAACCGGACTTCTAAGTGAGCCAAAACTGGATACAAACACGAGCCCAGGGCTAAACCTCTAGTTTGTTCATATAATTTGCTTTCAAATGTAGAATGTTCGGCAACTCCCCTTGCTTATCTTATTTCCCGAATAATTTCTGAGTTTGGGCTCTTATAATTATAAAACCTGTATGGCCCCATTTACTGGTTAAATCACATGCATCGATAAATAAAAGTACAATAAAATCTTCCTGTTTTATTAATTGCTCATTTATCAACTTAATAAATCATAACAATTATTTGCTGAAAATCACCAAAAAATCTGATATTCGCTTAAATTTAACACAAAAAATCGTGATGGTTTATGCATGACACAGCCCCTATTGTTCACAATGATCCTAAACGGGACAATTTCATTGTAAATTTCGGGCAGACCATATAAATTAGGCCTAGAATCGCGCTGGAGAAATGTATTCATTTTTTACTTATCCACTACTAACGCATTTTTGCAGACAATATTCGTCTTTAGCGTTTCTGCAGAACACTTAGTTATAATCCTATGTATAAAAATCGGCTAAATCCTACATCATTTTTTCGAAACAATATGTTTTAGCCATAACTACAATTGATCCTCTGTATACCCTCAAAACCATGTTTGCGTGTGGTTTGAGCCTCTTACTAATATTATTAACCCGTCCATTCTTATTTAGTACTTCTACACGGACATCAATTAGAGGAACAACTAGTTTCTTGTGTTAATCGGCCAGTAAGGTTGATGATTTCCATTAAAACTTTAAGTTAAACTCTTACTATTTGGCAAAGCATAATTAGGACGTATATATAGAGCTTTTTGAATAGTCATACCTGATGATCCTAATTTTTTTCCTGTCCAGTGGATGATTTAGGCCTAGTTCTTAATAGTAGAATTTAAATTCCAAAATTATTGAGCTTCTTATCGTGACTCTTTAGTATCTGATGAAACACTACACCATATAATGTATCTATCGCCGATCGTGGCTTCTGATTAACAGTATTGGACGATAATTGCCCAAGTCTGGCTTTCGATCCAATCCAATTAATTAATCTTGAAGTATTTTGTAGGAATTTTTCTTTAATCAAATCACGAGATATCTTTATAAGATTCCTCTTAGTTCTAATTGACAAATTGGGTCTGCCAATAATACAAAACTTAGGAATAATACTAAATACATCATCACTTTACACTAAGACCAAGAACTTTATGGCCGGACAAATTAATCACATTTGATCTTTTAAAGTATATTAATCATGTAGTATTATTCGGTTAAAGAAAGACTCGCACAAAATATTTCAGGATTAGATAATTTGATCAGAACAAAAATCAGACTTAGGCAACCATCTGATATTTTTAATTAAGAGAATTTTCTTAAGCTAAGACCAATGGCAGATACACTCCGCTGAGTTTACTGATGAGGCGTAGTCGAGATTGAAATAACAATCCATTTCAGTCTGGATGAGAATACCTTTTGAGAAGCAGGGTTAGGTAAAACTCAATCGTAAAGCGTACTTATAGCATTGTAGGAAAATTGAACTGCCAGGCCTTCATGATATCAAACGAAACAGAGTAAACACTGATTGCTATCCTCTAGCCTCATACTCCAAACAACCGTATGGATCAGAGCGTGAATAGCACCTTGAACAGGAATGTTTGTGTAAATAAACACAACATCAAAACTTATTAATCTATCTTCTTCTAAAGTTATTTGCTGATTAACTAATTTTACAAACCCGTAAGAAGTTTTAACCAAGGTAATATAAAATCAACTTACCTTAGAGTTAAGAGCATGGTGATCATCTTTTAGGTTAGAAATTTGGGAATCCTTATCAATTAGATCCGCCTCCAATTTGACAGCAGAAACTTTAGCTGATACAAGCTAAAAAGCAGTAGATAATATAACATTATGTATGCATATGTATATAATTAAGTCACGAAGTTCAATTAATAAGGAGCAAAGCTAAGCAAGCTGCAAGCTCATACAATCATATGCCTTTCCCTATTTCATTAAAAGATATTTGTCTAAAAGCTTATGATTTAGCATTTAGTTTGGTAATTCTGAAGTTAGAAAATTAGATGAATTGAGAACAAAAATCATTGGTGAATAAGAATATTTTTTGAATGCATGATAAATATACTTTATATTAGGGCTGAGCTTAGGTTTGACTTCTGATTGGCCTTCCAACTTAGCTCAGACAAACGAAGTCTTTGATTTAATCAACCATAAGCAAATTAAGAGCAAGTTAGAAATCCCAATGATTAAACAATAAAATTGATACAATGGACATAGGCGCAGAAACGCAAAATAAAACTTCAACAGCAGATGTACCTCTTTAAATAGAAACTTTATGGCAAATCGAAGATCAGAAATGGCATTTAATTGTTGAAGTCTGCTGTTGAACGTAGCATCCACAAGTGAACTGTCACCGAGGGAAAGTTTTGCGCCAGGATTGCAGCTATCACTTGCATCAAGCAATTTTTGCTGCAAATCGGCAATTCGGCAAGTTTGATCCTGGACTTCGTGGCGGAGCCGGTCAACAGTACCAACTAGAAGACAAGTTTCTTGACCTGAAGCGGACAACTCTTCGCATCGATGCTCAGCAGATTCAAGTTGTTCAGAGAGCAGCCGACGAGATTCTATAAGCCGGTCGAGATGCAGCTTAGCTTCTGCCAGGCCGACCTGTACATCCACGTCAGTTCGAAGCAACATTCGCACACGAGCAGCATCGATGTGGGGAGTTCTTCAAAAACACAAATTGAAAGGTAGAATAAGTAGAAAAATTATGATACTAAATAATATGATATTT